TGATTAACAGAGTTTATTGCTTGGCTCATTGATCCTTTGATATTTTTTCCCAATTTGGACACACCATCCATGTCACCAGTTGGCTAATACACCTGTCAACCGCGCCCAAAACGGGGAGACTCACCTGTGACCATCTGTCATTATATGGATCCCTTATAATAATTTTATAATTTCCTAAAATCGGTTTCAAACCCGTTGTTAGTTTTAATGTCATTACTGTAGTTATTTTAACACTACTAGTTAAAACATGCACTTTGTCAAGCCACATTAACGTGTTTTTTCTGCTCAAGGCTGTGTATGAGCTTCATTAACAAAACAAGTGCTTACAAGAATGATGATGACAAATCAACGTCAATGGGGCTGAAACAACATGGAGTGTGTTGGTTTAGCTAATTATTTTATTGCTCAATGAAACAGATTATGAAGCTTATAATGCTGCATATCGTGCATTGCTGAGACCTCTTCATGGACTATTATTGTCTGTGCAGTAGCAGTTCAGTGTTAATGTCATGGTCTAATTGTACAGTTGCTGTCTTCACAATATGATGAATATGATGTGGCACACTGGAAAATATGACAAGAATATTAGAAATGTATAAATATGCAGAATTCCAGCAATGGTGAATCATCAAATTATATTTTTTTGTTTAGGATTTGATGGTTGGATATATGGGCCCAGTAATTGAAGAGATATTGTAGGAATTGTTTGCATTAGGTCGTTTTATAACCTATGCCTGATTTTTACTATAGATTTTTCATCTCACCCTACTTAATTAAATATTTTGTAAAAAAAATAATTAATTTTATTTGCATTAGTGATGCCAAAAATATATATTTGTATTGTATTTATAGAAATATTAACCAAAAACCAAGTCACAATATTTATGTAGTAATATTCAGGTTGCGTCTGCGTCGTCTAAGAAAATGCCTGAACTTTCTGCCAATTTTAGTATAATAATATATCCGGTAATTACAGTGACATTAGCCATAAACTGGAGTAGCACATCTGCATTTAAAATCTTAAGTACCTGAATGTAATCTATTGAAACAATGACCCTGCCCTGTCTGTCTCTATTGTGGTCTATCTCACGGCATTCCCCTTCATTCAGTCTGCCTGTTTAGCCTTGGTCTTCAGCCTCGGAGGGGTGTGAACGCTTGCATGTTGCGTGTGAAGCAAGCCTTCTCATATCAGCAGTGTTAAGAGTTTGACCGCTACTCTCTGCAGCAATCTGCTTTTCCACTCTCCAGCCCTTTATCCCGGAGCAGCAGTTTTCCTGTAGGTTATTCTTCCTATCCAGGCACAGGAAGGCCGTCCCCCGCTGCGGCTTCCTATCACAGGCTTTCCTCATGGCCCCTGCAGCGGGACAAGCCTTCTTCCTCCCACATTGTCGTCCTCTGAAGCTAATAATTGAACAAAGCAAAGCAGCACACATCTGGCGATTGTAATTACAAGTAATAGAAAATGTTTGATCACCTCATCTCCTCTCCCTATTGTTCAAGGGAGACAAAAATCAAAAGCATAGTTCATAGTAAATATGTCAGATATTTATTATTATAATGTGGTGCACTATGTAACATTTCATCTCTTGTTTGTTTTTACAATGATTATAATACTAAAATAATTGACAGGGTATGCACCGATCAAGCTTTTTCACTTCCGATACCAACTCCAATATAGCTTTAAGTATCAGCCAATACCCGATATTGACCAGTGCAGAGATTGAAAACAGCACAAGACAAAGCTGATCCAAATGTGTTATGTAGATGTTATTTATCCCTCAACTAACTACAGAATTTGTATAAATAAAAATTCAAACATTCCAAGGCTTTCTGGGCCAGTGTTATTACATCAGTTTATATGTCCAACCATAATATTTCAGGTGAATCGATATTGGGAAGCTGAAATCCGATACAGCTCATTTTGCAGTATCATCGCTGATATACAATACCAGTGTATGATAGTGAATCCATAGTAATTGATGCATTTGTGACCATACGTCCTTGTCAATGCCTGTTCTTGTCTGATCTCCGAAGCTAAGCGGGGTTGGGCCTGATTAGTAATTGGATGGGAGACTGCTGGGAATACCACGTGTCTGGAATAGCACTGTCTTAGACTATTGCATTATTTTTTAATCAGTTTTTTTTATTATTATTTTGCAGGAACACGGGGGTCTGCTCCGAATTTTCCCCGAAGGAAAACCCCAGTTTGCCGACATCGAGCCCAAATTTGACCGTCTGCTGCTGTTCTGGTCGGACCGGCGAAATCCACACGAAGTCCAGCCCGCTTATGCTACCAGGTCTGTGTCCCACAGTCATATCAGGGGTTATTACAACACTTGATCATTTTGTTTTTTCAAATTAATGCTTGCATCTCTTTCTATAAAGGTATGCCATAACCGTGTGGTATTTTGATGCAGACGAGCGAGCTAGAGCTAAAGTAAAGTATTTAACAGGTAAGCTTTTAAAGGGATCAATTTCATATATGTCCATTCATTTTTTTTATGTACAGAGGACTAAATAAAAAATGCACACAGGTCATTACTCAGGTTTTAGAACATATTTTATATATAAATATAAATATAAATATAAAAACAAACTTTAAATTTAGGTTATTCCCCAAAAACCTACGCATTTATTGAGTTTATTTGCTATATGTATGTATTTTTTGAAAAGGATCCTTTTAGCATAATGTTAGGACACAGGACAATGGACCTTGGCACTATAACCACAGCCACCACATGAGCAAATTCAAAAATTGTATAACAATTATTAGGTTATTACAATATTTAAATATCTGTTACAGTATTATAATAACAAAATAAAAGGAGGATAACAATATTATAATATTACCTAATAGCTCTGTTAATATTTCTTGTGATCATATAGTGGATTTTTGTAAGATAATATGACATAAAATATTACTTTTTACCAATAGACGATTTATGTGAATACCTTTAAAGGTAATTTGCCTGTCTGTCACATTGTGTTTCTCTGTAATGTGCAAAGCACTTAAAACAATATAACCAGATGTACATTTGCATAAAACCTCTTTTACATCTGTACCTTATATACCTGCACAGAGTAATATAGAAAACAGTTGTTGTGAATTAACTTGTTGTGGACAATCACCATGTGCACTGTCTCATCTGTAAAAGACGGTCATTTGCTAAGCACGGTAAAAACACGGTCAAATCAAATATGCTGCAAGCTAACTTCAGCAGATCATGGCCAAACAAACATAAAATACCTTCAGTACAACACACAACTACAAGCTTAGTATTAAAATAGCTACACATGAGTGAATTAATATTTTGTCCACACAATTTCACAGCCATGTTTCCCCGTCTTGAGTTCTCCACATTGAGGAGGGCTCAGAGTTCGCGCGGGTACACTAAGTGCAGGTACGACAGGCACCAGAAGATGGCACTAATTTACAATTTAGCAGGATTTAAGAACACTCATATTTACTATGTTTCACAGGCATGTTTCTAAACATTAGGCTCTATTCACACTTAAGACACAAACCAGGAAGACGTTTGGAAACGTGATGACAACTTCCAATGTAGTTATCATCACTGGGCTCGCCAACTGACTGTGATAAAACCATGGATCTATTAAAATAATTGGATAGGGCTGCTTGTAGCTGCCTCCAGTTGACGTAGTGGTCACTCACTGGAACTTCAGTGGAAAAAAATCTCCTGCACTGAGAAAGGATTTTTCTCCTAGAGCGCAGTGTAATCAAAAACTGCTCGTGTTCGGCTGACAGGGCACCTACAACTTTCAAAAAATGTCGGATTTGTTGGTGATTTTTACCTATTTTTAGATCATAAATTTTTTTCTCAGCTCAAAATCCTTCAGTTTTCTTAAAAAAACGCTTTATAATCATTAGCTCCGGCTCCACTCTAGCTCCTCTCACTCCGATTGGTCAAAGTGATTACCTGCGTGTGCTTGCGTGCATTCGCGTGTACCAGCGGGACAAAAGAGCAATACTGCACATGCTCAATTGACCCACAGCCACCAAAAGTACCTAGCCGGGCTGAAGGGTAATCTGGAATCATGTCCCATTGACTTGAATGGGCAGCCATTTTGAAACGCCAGGGCTTGGATAAAACCCACTGATGTAAATGTGATCAGCGGTAAAATGAAGACTGCATACGTATCTGCTGTTTGGAATAATCTTGAATTTGGCGCCTCATCTCTTCTTATCGCGTGTACCCAATGCGCTCGGAGTTGTGTGTCAGTGGGGAAATTGGGGAAAACTGAGGTCTGGTGTAATGGTTGATTACGCGAACATAACGGAACGCTAAAATGACATGTAGATGAAGAAAACCGGGACATTTTCAAATTTTTCCTACATTTTGTCAGCCTTACTACCGTGAACAGAGCCCGCCGGAAGTTATCATTGCATGTTTCCGAACGTCTTCCTGGTTTGTGACGTAAGTGTGAATAGAGCCTCTGACAATAATTTCTTTGTTTCTTGCAGCCGCAGGTGAGAAAGGTGTAAAGGTGGAACTTGACAAATCCTCAGATGCCAGCTAATAGGAGGCCGGACCAGATCCTCCTTAAATCAGCCATTAAGTGCTCTGTGTGAAGAAAGTGGCCTATAGAGAGCATGTGCGCGTGTGACTGTGTGAATTTTACAGTTTAAAGACCTTTTGCTTTGAGTGAACGATCCAGTGTTTATGGACAAAAAGAAACAAAATGCCACAATTTCTGTTCGTTCTCAGCAGACCTTGAATGTCACGACAACGGTATACTGAAAGGGATTGTGTGTCTTTTACACAGCTTTTACGTTACAGTCAATATCTTCAAATCATGTCAGCTAAACACAAATTAATCTTAATTTTTGTTGCATCTTGGTCTTTGCAGTTTATTCCTTAAAGGTACAATGTTCTGCATATGCTTAAAGTGTTATGCTTTTCACATGGAATCAGCTGCTATAAGCTACTGTTTGGCAAAATGTGCTTGAGTTTGCAATAACAAGGAATGATCTAAAATAAACCACCCATTTCTGACATAAAGCGATGTGTTCTAGAGTTATTTTGTGTACATTTTGTAATGGACTGATTGTAATATTTACATTTATTTTATTTAAAAAAAGGTAATATAAAGTACAACTAGTCTGTCCTGAATGATTTTGGAGTACAATTCACGTTTTAAAAATGTATTATATATATTATGTATCATTCAGTTTAGTATTTATGTGATTTAAAGACCTTGCGTAGATAGACACCCCGTTTAATACATTCATTTAAAACTACACAATGTTTTGCTGCCGCCTGCTGGATATGATCGTACATTACAGCTGTTACTCTCAAATATCCCTAGAAAAAAATATTAAGACATTAACCAGTTACCCAGTTTCAACCAAATATATATTTATTTATTCAATGTAAGAAAAATATTTTAACAATATTTTAGCAGTGCACAATGTCAGTTCAGTTGATCAGTTCTATTAACTATTGCACCTATCGCTACACAGCTATCCATACAATACAGAAGTTTATAATGACAAGAGTGAAATGAAATAAATTCAAAGTTCAAAATCTTAAAAATTAGACGTTATTTGTCTAAAATCAGTGTATTAGCGACAACGGTGGTGCTGATTGTAAAATTTCTTATTGTAATGTGCCTAGCTCTCTATATAATATAAACACATTGTATGAAAGACACATGTACATTAACAATACATAAAATAGTAATGATACAGTACATATTTCATAGGTCAAATACAGTAGATATTCAATATGAACTATACAATGACAAGTTTAAGAGCAAAATTACATTATATAGTCAATAAGGAGTGTGCAAATTAACGTCCTATTAATGGACCTTTTATACTGGCAAAGAAAGTCCTATATAAACAAGGGTAACACTTAAAAATAACTACACTTTTAATAGCCCTAATAAAGTACAAGCAAAGACATATAACAAATTGTTTATTAAGAATGATTCAGGCTTAGTAACTACTATCATGAATCTTTCTTAATTAGGGTTGTCAAAAATATCGAAAACCTAATCGATACTAAAATCAGTAACGAAAACTGATACTCAATTTAACAAGTATCAATACTGAGAGACTGAAGTGCTGAAGTATTTGACGATTCTAGAGCAGTTTTACAGTAAATTTGATCTTCTCTAGTATTGAAAAACATGGTAACTTCACAAAAGCACTATGAGTTTGTGCTGAAAAGTACATTCTGTTGTCTAAGTTTTTTTTTTTTTGTTTTGTTTTTATCATTATAGCATTGAAAATGGTATTAAGTATCAAGACTTTTAGTATTGTGACAACTCTATTCTTAATACATTATTTAATTCATTATCGCTTAAATCTTTGTTTATGCTTTTTGAGACTAATTAAAGTGTAGTTAAAGTGGTACCGAACAATGTTCTGAATGTAACAGGTTTGGGGCAAGCTGTGCCCATGTGCCTCAGTCTGAACGAATCAGGAAGAGAATTGTGCAAATTCACTTAATAAAACCGTATTCAGTGGTTTTATCAGTAATGGCTGAGCTCCTCCAGTGAAGGAGGGAGGTGATACGAGTCCTCTCCTCCGATGTATGCTGCGATTCCACTGCTCTGGCTCCCCCACTCATAATTGTCAGACACCAGGCTGCAGAGAAACAAATGGAGAGTGTCACATTGATTTAAGTGTTTTCATATTACAGCGAGGCAAAATATTAAACACTGAGTTTGTATTTGTAAAATGTTTTGTTGAAACACAAATGGATTAGATGGGCTTAGAGATGCAAATTTACTTTCAATATTGAATAAGGCTACCTGCTTGTCTGGAGATGTTAATGCTTTGTCTAAAATATTCCATGGTATGGCATTAAACTTACATTTTAAAGTGAAAAAATGCATATCACACTCAGATGGCCGATGTCCAAAAGCTTTTTTATTTTTAAATAAGGTTTCGGCGAAAAAAGCCTTCGTCATATTTTTCTTTTCACTGTGGTTCAAAGCAAGAAAAATATCTGACGAAGGCTTTTTTGCCGAAGCGTTATTTAAAAATAAAAAAGCTTTTGGATATCGGCCAGCTGAGTGTGCTATGCATTTTTTCAGTTTCATCTTGCTGCTCCTTGCAGTTGCACCTCTACAAGAATTTTGGTGTGCGTTTCTGTTTCTTTTGATTAAACTTACATTTTACCATGCAGACAAACAGGCAAAGTTACAGGTCAGATCTGTGGCGCGGTGATCTCGCTCACAGCAACATTTCAGAATGTTTCTCAAGGTATTTTTGAACAATAAAATGACTGTATTTCAATAAATGCTAGATGTGTTTAATGCCATACTGTGGAAATTTTCAGGCAAAGCACTGAGAGATGGAAGTGGCAGATTAATCAATAAATGTCAGTGCACCTTCAAAACGTTACTGTACATTGTTTGTTTTTTTGTTAACTAAAGATACATTATGTACACGTATATTTGTGTATTTGCTCTTAATTCTTTAGGTTTCTCAGGCTCATATGTAATATTGAAACAATTCTTTACATTTTTCAAGAAATAGGGTTCATAAGTAAGTTAGTTATTTAAAATTATTACATTATACATCAAATTGGCATATCATTTTAGCTCAAAATGTTTTCCATTACTATAACAAATATTTTGTTTATAGTCTGGACTCTTGTAAGTTTAATGGTGTTTCCAAGTTGTGGTTTAGTGCAGTGTTTTACCTGGCCTGTATATTCTGAGGCATGACACTCCAGGCCAAGTCGTCATCGCTGTCGTAACGTCGAGGGTTGTCAAAGAAGTAAGAGCGAGTGGAAAATACATGACTCGGGAGCCCAGTGCCACTCTGAAACATACACACAAATACAAATAAATAAGGTCGACCATAATAAAACCATAATAAAGATATACTGCATATTGCACAACAGGACCAATGTAAAGGAAGACACCCTTAACCGGAAATGTATGACTAAGCCAGTGACTGTACATAAATAAGCAACGTATGCATTGTAAGATGCATTACCCAGATTTTCTCTCATATTTCTCATATAGTGTATTACAAAACTGGTGCTAAATGATGTGAAACAGACCACTGCATGCTGTTCATATCTAATTGCAAAAGGAGAAAAAAAGAAATACATTTATGATGATGACATGTTGGCAGTACCTTTGCTTAAACGTAACTACCAACATGCAAATGCAGTAACATTTTCCCACAACTAACAGTTTCAGTTCCTGTTTCACACTGCTGACTGGTGCCAAATGTACCAGATTCTGTCTTACCCGGTCTAGAGTGGGTTTTCGAACTCTGAAGAAGAACACTACGAGAGAAGTGGGCAGCAGCTCCCAAACGAACAGGATCACCCCAAAGACGATGTAGCCAGTGTCTCCCAGTGTGGACTGTAAATCTGCCTGTTGAAATAAAAAAGTAATATTGTTACATTTAATGGCAAACACAGCAGTATAAACACATGCTGTATATAGGTGTGTCTCACTAGATTGTATTTTGCAAATAGAAAAGTCACAATCATATATTCCACATATTGATTGATCACAGTTTTTAATTTAATATTATCTTATTAAAACTTAAACATATTATCTAAACATAAGCAAGATCATTTAAATCATTCCAATTTAAAACAAAAAATAGCAAATGTATTGCTACAGACCATAAGATTTTACTGGCAGATGATTGGATGTGGACAAGATTACAGGCATTTAGGAGATAAATACAAGATTATATCTTTGTTGTGACTGGAATGTATTTTTAGATGGTGAAATTTTTTTTTACTAAAAAGACTTGGATTCAAGGAGACAGACTGAAGTAAGGCTGGTTCTGAATATACATTCAAGGTATTACATTTTGTAGCAGACATGGCTGCAGATTACAGTGTTCATAATGTCGATTTGTGTACAGTTAAGTACAGTACTAGTGAGTATTTGGGGGTTTCTGTTTTAAAGTGTTTACCTGATCTGATACGTTGTACCAGTCATAGTCAAAGGAGTTGATTTTCTTGTTCGAAAGTCCTAAAACAACCAGATTATAGCAGGCTCTGGACGCGTACAAGAGGATGACAATCGCTCCTATTGCCGTCACCTGGCACACTGAGGTTCCCTGTAGAAAAAATAGAATTTTTTAGTAGTAGCATAAAAGGAAGTAATTATTTCTTATTATTTTGACATTAGGGACTCTGCAGTGGCCTACCTTGGATTCCAAGTAGATATTGGCCAGTGACATTTTGGCGATCTTGTAGAGACACACGGCGAGCGAGATCGCACAGAGCACAAACAGCGAGTCGTTGATGGCGACTCGGACCAGGACCACGGTGTGTGTGTCAGCGGAGGACATCCTCACGAGCAGTGCACACACCAGATTCACCACTAAAAACACCAGGCTGATCAACAGGAACACCAGGTACAGAGGCAACCTGTGGAGCACAAAATCTGTCAACGATCTTTCATTTATCCTCACACATTATGCTTTATCCTTATGCTTTTGTATGAAAAGGCATTGTATTCAGAAAAAAATCATGAGGTCATTATTTTTTAAAGGTCCTATATAATGCAAAATTAACTCTTGTAAGCTTTTAGCCATGTTATAATGCTGTTATCTCATCAAGACATACATGGAGTTGTGTTTTGTTTTGTTCCCACGTGTTTGAGGAATCCCGCATTATTAGTCTGTCTACATCTCCAAAATTCAAATTGCTGTGTTCCACCTTGTAATGTGATGAAGTAGTAGTTTTCAAGTTAACAGCTTTTACCTTTAGTTCATTTGAGTGTGCAAATTGCTGAGCTGAATTTATACAAATTATTCTAGTGAAGGTGTATGAAGAATAAAAACACAGTGGAGCCTTCCTGTATTACCACAAGTTAGAACAGAGTGTGTTAAACATGTGTGAATGAAACAAAACACAACTTCAGGTATGTTTTTGATGAAGAAACAATATTATCATAAAATAGCCAAATATGGGTACTTTGATGTCCATTTTAGTATCTAGTCTACATAAATTGCCCTATTTCCAAATGGACACATTACTTTTTACTGCATAATTTAATGGTAGGTCATAGCTCATACTTAATCTTCTGGTAACTATTTCATTCAATATTGAACTTAAGTGGTTTGAGTGATTCAAGTTATGGCGAGGTAAAATGTGACTGATGTGAATGACAAAATCTATCAATTATCATTCATTTACGCTTATCCTTTATAATTTTTATCCTTGTATTCATTCAGGAAGTATTGTATTTATACAAGAAGTATCCTGGTTGTCATTATAAAGTGTGTCTTAGTATTAACTTTATTCATGTTAGAAAGAGAAATGACTTTGACACAGTAGCTCATACTTTACAACACAGTAACAAGTGCAAAAAGGAAATGGTAACAAACTTCAAAATCCAAAATCATTAGCAAAAAGTAGCAAAAATATACACATTAGTACAGTAAACTTGCACCATAATTTGAGACCAGTACTTTTTACAGAAGGCCAGCACGAACACACATTACCTGTATCTCAAAAGCTCTGGTGAATACTTTGACTTTGCCTTGAAAACAACCTGCAAGAGAAAAAAAAAACAAAAAAACATTTGTACTAATTGTACTAATGCTACAACTTTGCACTATATTTTCACTTCTGTCTTTTAGCTCTCTAAAAATATGCTGGCCTGGTTTGACACCGGAAGAAGTATTTGCCTTTCAGACTGCTAAGAGATGTGTGCTATGTCCAAGCGACCATCAGCAGTGACTCAAATTGGTAAAACAGGATTGAGCTAAAAATAATTCCTAGGTAACAACACACAGCGGTGCTATTATTTCACATTTCTGTTATGTAAGCATGATTCACCACATCGTAACAGCACAGTATCTAGAAGGGCCCTTATTTTAGTTCCTGCCGTTTTCATTGACAATATTGTTCATTGATGGAGCTTGTAGAGGATGACCATTTTAGACCTTTTATTCAGGACGGAACAGAGTATCTTGCAAATTATCTTTTTCCTCAGTGCATTAGGTTAAAGTAAAATATGAATGCTTTTAGAACACTTAAAGCCTTGTAAGTGTGAAATTAATGTGTAATAATTAAGTATTATCACTATCTGAATCTCTTCTCTTAAATGTCAATTTTTAGTTGTGCATTTTACCAGAAACAACCAGCACTTTGGATAAGGATGTAACTACTTATAAGTATAAAATATTTCATAATAACAAACAATATAACATTACAAGCTTCTAAACACCTCAATAAAGGATACTGTACAGACCATAACCATTTGCTTTTAATGCAGCAGAGTAAAATAAATGTTAAATATTGTTGCTTTTATATATGACATTCACTTGATTTTTACAATCTTGATTTTGACACCCGCAATTTGGGAACCTGTTAACTTTATAGATCTTGAGGTTAGCCTTAACCTCATTATCTTTTTGCAAAGTTTGCAATGTAACTTGTGTAATGATTTAGCTTGGAGTAGACATATCTGAATATGTGAAGAGCCGTAGATATATTGACGATGGAACAGGTTTAAAACAAAATGTGCTGAGTATTGTGCAAACACGGAAGAGCTTAACATCATAATAAGTTCAATGTTTGAAGAGCCTTCCATGCCACAACATGTAGGTATCAGTATTACATAATGTTAATTTAAGAACAGGGTTGTCTATGGGGCAAAGACATTGGTGCAATGCCAGAAATGGTTTTATAAAGAGATAATTACACTAGTACATTTCAACAGATAATGAAAGTTTAGGCCTAAATATAAAACCTGTTTAGATTTTGAGTCTTGCCTTATTAAACTTGCTATGTAAAATGCAATTTGATTCAGAAAGGGGAACTATATACTTAATAAAATACACACAAACACAACATAGTCTCTAATAAATGTTCAATTCAAGAAGGCACTGTGTTATGTAACAACAAACAAGTTTAATCTTTTTTGGGGTGAACCATAAAAGCTTAGTGTTGTACTTTTCATCAGAATAAATTATTAACAAATCTTATACCAGCCAAAAAATGTGACAGTCAGTATTTGCAGAGTCAGATCTGCCCCAGAGCATGCATTAACTTGCACTGTCAGTTTAATTACACGTTAATTAACATTCACACATTCATTTAGGCTTGAGTTGACATGTTGCACGAATCATTAGTTGTAGACCTACTGACATCTGCATTATTACAGGCCAAACAAATATGTTACTTGAAAATGAAATCGATGAATGGGGTTTTGAGCATTGAGCTGGAGGATGCTGCAGTTACGAGATCTGCCATTAAGGATGAATGAAATATGATATCGCTAGCGTTAGTGTTATTAACTTACCTTTGCAAAATATAGGTTCATGAGGCTAAGTGTGAAGAACTGCAAGCACACTGGAAAGCAATAGAGCAACCAGAAGGGAAAGGGCCCCAGAGTGTTCGCAGTTACAAAGTTTTTGAAGTAAAACGAGAAGAGGACCGTGCGTAAGGCCGACCACAGCAGGCATAGGAACAGGAACACCGTTTGGTAACTCAGTCGTTTATGTCTATATTTGAGCACCAACCATAATTGCACGTAGATGAAGACGAATAAGAGTGAGTAGAATACGGTATAGACCACGGTGAGGCCTAGAGTAACGTAAGGGTGTACTGCGGGGCTCAGGGTGGGCAGAGGCAGCGGTTCATCCATCACCGACGACTCCTGCTCCAGAACCGAGCCTACCGACTCCTCCATGATTAGGTGACGCGCGGACAGAGCCAGGCCTGTGCCGCTGTGGTGTGTGACAATTCTCCACCGACGTCTGGGAGGAGGTAGAGGTGCAAAAAAAGAACCAGAAAATGGCTGTCAAGATGAGGGAAGCTGTCAGGAGGAGATGGGAGCCTTGAAAGCTGGTCGCTCAAAGCTAACTTCCTGGCGCAGCGCAGCCCCTGTTCGCCGTGGAGAGAAGCACATGATCAGTGATGAGAGGAGAGCGGATGACAGAAGCCGGGGAGAGGCAGCTCCACAGCGGTCAGGAGGCTGCACAGTGCCGCAGACAGAGCACCGACAGAGGCAGAGCTAAGCCGGTTCCCGCCCATGTGACGTTACGCATCAGCTGACGCATTTTCTTGTACCTTTAACCCTGTGATGGGGCTATTCCCACACAGCAGTCCAGCATCACAAGTGGGTCTATTTTATTTTTGCTGGCGGAAACGAAGCCCACCTTTGTCTAGGGGCTTAGGATAGATGTATGACGCTCGTGACCAGATGAGTGTCGTGCCAATAGAAGCAGAGTTAAAGAGCCCCTATTACGCAGTTTTCTGATCTGTTATGATGTCGTTTCTTCTTCTCAAACATACCGAGTTGTGTTTTGCTTCATTCACACACAGAAATCACCCTGTTTCACCTTATGATGTCATGTAATGATACATGAAGTACTTTACTGTGTTTCTCCAATGCACCTTCACGAGAATTATTTGGATAATTTCAGCCCTGCAATTGCCCATCTCTACTGTACAGTCAAGGTAAAAGGTAAAAGGTAGCTGTTAACATGAAAAATACCTCAACATGACATCACAAGGTGGAACAGAGCATCTTGAGCTTTGGAGATGTAGATAGTCTAAAAATAAAGTTACTCAGACATGTGAATGAAACAAAGCACAAGTCCAGGTATTACAACAACATTATAACATGGCTTAAAGCTCAATTGAGTCAGTTTTGCATAATTTAGGGCCTTTAAACTAAACTGGTTTCCTAGAATTTATGCTTGCAACATAAGGCTTAAAAAAAATATAAGATAAAACAATCCCTTCATGTCTTGGGACAGGAGATAACAACACACATGAAGGGCATCACTAAGCAGATTCCAGTCATCATGACCCACCACTGAACAAAAGTAAGAAACCTAAATAACCACTAACCATAGACTGTAAGCTCCCAACTGAAAAGAAATTGATTGTAAAATGTATTTCCTCAAGAGGTGGAGGAACAGCCACTGCAAAATGAATATGTAGCCTAAATAAATACTCAGACTCAGGATGAATATGAATTTGAATCAAGTTAACTAATGTTGGCCACATATTCCTTGGTTACAGTGCAGATCCAAGAGTAGGATTACAGGCCATAGCTGAGAGTTCTAAGGCTACCAAACTAAGGTAGGTGTCATATTTCTTATATGTCATTCAATTGGCTTCTAATTTATAAGCAAAAGAAGACATGACACAAAAGTGATATAAGTGAGCTAAAAATCATCACTCTTAGATTTTCTGTCAACTGAGTAAATGGATTCCCCCATGAACCAAACTAGGTTGTGTTGGCTTGTTTTTGTTTGATGAGACGGGGGCAGTTTCTCATGAGGAGGGTCAGAGAAGGAGGCCGCTCTGCTCCACCTTTGACTGCTGTGGAACTGGCCTCATATTTTACACCAGACAACTCAAGCAATTATGTATTCCACCAGTTCTACAATCCTTTGGTATGAAACGTTGTAAAGAAGTAGGTTATATTTGTGTATTATTTTACTATATATTTGTAGAATCCTTAAAGGGACACATTGTACCTTTCTGGTGGAGCGTCTGCCACCTGCTTATCTCCAGGGAGAAGTTTTTGCTTTGCCTGGGTTGATCCACAGTATGGTATTAAACATATCTGTCTCCATGGAGACAAGCAGGTGATGCCTCCAGGTCCAGAACCAGAAAATAAATAGTAAGTTAAATGCCTGTCATGTAGTGGCAGAAAGAGCAGTGGACAAAGAACCAACCACTGAATGGAGAACTTAATAATTTAACCTTGAACACATTTGATAATATGCTTTGGACCATAAGCCCCACTGCATCAATGTGAACTCTTCTGGTCTACAAAAAAGGACAAACGTGTAGCCACCAGGGGTCAGTAGTCTACTGTAAAGATCATCAGTCTATTAGATATAAAAGTTGAATTTCCCCCTGAACTATTCTAAACTAGTCTAGAGTATTAAGATCCTTAATTGATAAAGTGTAATTTAATTAATTAATTTCTTTATTAGGGCACCATACATTAACCATAGAGCTTAAACCAGACTGCTTGACCAGACTATATCAAAAAATGTAAAAATGCTGCAATTTTGTTTTCAATATACAAATAAAGAAATATAATACAAAGAAGATCAAACACTTACAGTGTAATAAAGTGGTATTTCTGCAGTTTCATGTTTAATTTCACAGTCCATTCACTTTTTGTGCAGCACTTGAACCTCAACCATGACATTAACAAGGGCATTTTAACACATTTGTGATGGCTTGCTATATAGTCTGACTGTCGTCATCACCATTATACAAAAAACACATCTGTACATTTCATTCATGGCACCAATTAAACCTCCCACAGTTATAGCAGTGAAGCTGTTTCTATGACGACAGACTCTCAAACATTGACATGTATGCGCTAATGTGCTATGATTGGGGCTTTGTTCCCATCAGTCTTTGGGAGCAGAGGAGTTGATGTTTATCATTAGGGTATAAGTATTGTGAGTCAGACTGAGTGGAGTGGACTGAGTTACACCCACAGAGTTACATAAAAGTCGGACACAATAGCTACTATAGGTCTGCTGCTCTTATGGCAATTCCGAGGAAAGCATTGGTACAAAAGTACATGTTTTCCCCAGGAAATTTTCCTTAGTGCATTTAGAGGTATTCACTATATATGGAAGTCCATGCTGTAATAAAGGATTGCAGAATGACAACTTACCTTGTTTGGTAACATTAGAGCAAATCCAATTATTGTTTTTAATTTTAATGACCACATCCTTGTTGACCACCTGTAGCTCACACTCTTGAACCATTAATTCACTCTTTCTTGTCAGTTTTTTCACTATATGTAGAGCTTGAATGAGGAAATATGAGGAAAATAGAAGTATTCTATGTTATTATATGAATATTTTTTATGTTGAGCTTTGTTTATTTGCTTTTTCTTGCATGTAAAGCATCTGTAAATGTCAAAAAAAAATTGCTATACTAGTTTGATGAATTATTAGTTCTTTGTATACTGTATGTAATGTACTTTGTTAGTTAGTAGGCTTGCAATTTGGACAATATCTGTGATAAACAACCTTATCTGAACTCAAATATATATAACCATATTTGTTGGTCATGTGAGTTCAGTATTGTTATTGTTTGTTTCTTATCATTGTTATCTTATATTTTTATTTTTAATTATAGTTGATTAAGAACATGTTTATGACCATTGCCTCTGTCCCCCGGATTTAAACCGCTATTACATCTCAAAAGTTTAAAGTTTAATTCCACCACATTTTGTCCATAGTAAACAGCAGAGGGCAGCTTTGAGCTATATTTCACTCAACAGGAAACAGGAAAGATCATATATGGTAATATCCCCATCTGCACTATATGTTTTAATGATTATGAATCAGTTTAAGTACTGAGGTCACCTTACGTATTCTATCTTATGGAGTAACAAATAGGCCTAAATAACTGTAGTTGTTTCAAAGTGTTTGTTTAGTAGTATCAGTGTGTAGAATAGAATAACTTTGTCATTGTAGTAGGCACTGGCACTATAGCTACTACAACTACAAACACTACATCACGAATTTGCTTTGTCTGGACTGGTCAATTCCCTGGTAACAAAACCAGACACTTTTACAGTACTTTACAAAGGAGAAGTAGCAGGCAAGGGCTGGTCAGGGAAGTCCATTACCACTTAAGACAAAAGTAACTACGTCTGTATCATTTCTGTATTACATTTCAAATATAGTGATCAAACTGTCCACATACACTTCTATTGTGCTTTAAAGTGAAACCAAATTCATCTGGCAGGATTGTTCTGGTACTTGATCTTGTCTAGTTCTCCAGATGTTTCTGTATTACAACACTCCTCTTTGGGAGAGGCATTTGTGTTCAAGAGCTCTGGACTGGAGTTTAGAAAAAGGAAGTCCTGCATTAATTCATGAGGAGGAAGGAAGAATCCATCTCCAGCCTGTTCTGGGGCAGACTCTGTGGGGCAGGAATTATATTTTCTATGGCATCTGATATCAGGACGACTCCAAGGCCAAAACTATTGAATTTACTATGTACATGCACATTTTTCCTGATACTTGAATCTAGGATGAGGTTTAGAATTTGATAAGTGACCAACAAGCGGACCTGTCACGATAACAAATTTTGAAGTATGATATCTTGCAATGGCGAAATATTGAAACTTCTTTATGTCACTGACTTTAAACTGACATTAAACTTTAAATATACAATTCAACAAAAGACAATTTCATTAAAAGGCATTTGCTCCAAGAAATAAATAGAATGAACCAATAATTAGCCATAGAAGTTATTTAATCAGCCCTCTACAGTTAAAATCTTATCGTATTACAACAAAAATAAGACAAATCTCCCCACTTTTGCAAACAAAAACTAAATTACCCATGATAAATACTGTGCTCCAAAATACACTGTGCCAGCTGTCATATATTGCTATCAGATATAGTAGCCTAATTAGCGTGACAGGCCTCCCACAGGTAATGTTTATTTGCATACTTTTCAATATTTCTTGTGTTGTACGTGGTGCATTGCTTGTACCACTAATCCAGTACCGTGACAGTTTAAGGAGGCTTTAACCAGGTTTCACTCTGGACAGCAGTTTCTAACGTGAGAAAAACACAGGCAAGCCAAATAATCAGTTCTACATTTACAATAAATTATCTCGCATCAACATGCAATTGTCCTTACTCAGATCTGGTGTATAATAGATGATCTGTTTGGTTTGTTTTGCTTTGCTTTTCCCAGGATGCTGTTGAAGCAAGAGGGACTATGCAGAAAATGTTAAGTGGTTCTTACTGTATATTATGGTGATTATAACTTGGCCCCAGCCCATCAGCTGACCGGCCTGCAGTGCTGGAGAATGACTGGATGTTTGTTGAAACGACTCTAAGTACCACAAACCAAATAGACAAGCCCGCCTCTCATTATCCCGGCCGGAACGGAGTCTGATCATTGCGCATACCTCGAATAATTAGTGCATGGTACGCTGCACGGTGATATTGTCCTTTTCATAATTTTTCAGTAAGATGCACCGCCGGGCTCTGTTGCCGGTAAGTGGCCCGTGCGCTGATGTCCTCGCGCTGATGCTCCGTTTGGCTCCTGTCCAGAAGTCCCAGGACAGCCCCGGTGTTGTGCATAGAGAAGTGGGGACCTCCCAAACTGAGGCCTGTATTTACCCTATGATCCTCCGTCTGTGAACGGGCATCATTGCATCATGTATAGCCTATTGTAAGTCAACATATTATCTCATGTCCGTTGTATTGCACTGCAATGTTAAAACGCTGTGCTTTACCATGAGGTGTTAGTGTTTGTTGTTTTTTGTTAGATGAACCCAACGCTAACATGTCTTTTTATTTCATATTAACCAATGCAGAGACATTCTGAGACAAAACTCCTTTACAACAGGCTAAGTTAAAGCTTCATTGAAAGTAGAGCCGGGGCACTCCTCTTTGTACAGTTTTATGAAGCTCGTGCTCAGGCCCGCCCCTCCTCAACTTCATCTGAACTTTAGCTGCAGCCTGCGCTGCGCGCGACTCTCTTCTGCCCTGGACAGAACTAACGGGCCGCTGAGCAGTCCCAGAGACGGTCGGGAACTAACGGAACAATGGGCTGGAAAGAGCGAGGCTGGCTGCTTTGTGCCGCTGTTGTCGGGTTTGTGGCGAATGTTCAGTGCGTAAAACGGTCAGACTTTTTCCCTTTTGGCCAAAGTGCTGGAGACCAGGTCCTGGAGCCAGGGACGGACAGGACGCACCAGCTTCAGCTGAACAAGCCCGTTCTGTTTTATGATAGCTCCTACAACCGCATCTTTGTAAGTAATGGGCAGCATGGGGTCATTTGCGGCGATTTAAACTATTTGTGATATTTAAGAGGTCACCTCATTTCCATTTGTTTTGCGTAATTGCGCATACGCGAAGCCATGGCACATTTGGTATGGGAATTTAAAATCTTCTCGTTGAACAGCGTCAGAGTATTTCTCAACTCATTAAAGACAAGACATTGTCTGTCTGACATTGATTGTTGATATTAATAATGACTGACTTATCACCAGGACGGTGGCATGTGTCTGTGGATTCTTGTCGCTTAGTTTTACTGTTGACCAAAAAAAAAAAAAAAAAAAAAAAGTGATTTTGTAATGCTTCCAAGAACATCCACAGTGGGTCTATGCAAAATGACCTGGTGGTCTCAAAGAGATGCTTATCTCTTGAATGAATTTAAACTACAAAGGTTTACTCTTCATGCTTTTGGGGGCTCCATCTGAAGTGTTTTTTAGCTAATGTAAAAGACATATTTCTCTTGAAAAGCTGATGTCTTGGTCTGTTTAAAAAGGCCACAGTAAAGGCCAAGTCAATACAAGTAACTGCACTGCAAGATGTTTATGTCTCTCAGTATGGAACAAATCTTGGTGTATGTAAACAAATTACATCAGTTCAAGACACTACAACTTCTGTTGGGGCTTTCCCATTTTTTTGTAATGACTGATGTTATCTTCAGATTGTCTCTGAGCCATATTCACAGAGACACACTTTACACCTGAACTGTCTGAGCCCTGCAGGGGAACAGTGCTTTCCAAACCACATATGGCTAAAACAAAACATTGGATCATGAGGAGGTGCAGCCTCCTCCACAGAGTGATTCATTATTCCTATGCACTCAACTTCTTCCAAAACAAATGTTTTTTGTTTTTTTATCAAGGGATTTTGAGGGCTCTTATTCATCTGTTTTATCTTTGGTCTATGATTTTTGATTAGTGATTTCTTCGGGGCTGCGTGTCCAGGCAGGGACAGGAAACGGAGTGACTTGGGCCAGGAATAGTGCTCTTGTTTTCAGGAAGTGAGGGAGTCCCTAGTGTAGTGTGTGAGTGTTTTTGACATGAACTCCGCATTTCTGCTTTATGAGCCCGGCATGTGTCCACCGTAAAACAGGAGTGTGCAGGCTGTGTTCAATGGCATCTTGTTTGTTAATTAGGGCTTTGTGGAACATGGCAGATGACTTTCATCATTTGTCTTATATGTGTGAACAGGGGCGTAAGTGGGTCAGACAAGATGAGATAACTCCTATCTTAGTGGCTTTCTGCTGTCACAAGATCACACATCATTATATTGATCGTAGCATTTAGGCCTTTGTCCCTTATCCCACTTATTTAGAGAATGATCACTTTTTTGTTGATGCAACATGAATTGTATAAAATGTTTTTTTCCTTACAAGGAAATGAACACTTTTTAGGGTGTACTGGTTTCAGTGTTGTTATATGGTAGCAGTACCGTAGCTCCCCTTTACGTACATTACTCACAGCACGTAGGGCACCAAGTGCCTGTGGGTCACCACATGTATCCTCTCAAAAGTACTGGCATAGCATTGGGCCGCACCGCTGTTTGTCAGGGTCGTTTGTCAGGGTCGTTCATCACGGGCGTCTCCAGAATCCCCCCCGGGAGCATCTGTGCAAGCTATGGCTCTATGCTTTAACACAAAACTGAAAATCATATTGTGTTGTTGCAGTTATTCATAATGAGCTTCTGAGTCCATCAATCCATGTACCACAACATTCAATAACTTGTACCCCTTTTATGAGTCTTACTATAGCTAAAAGGTGATCAGTTGTTTTGAATTAAGTTGAATTAAGTCCCAGTTTAGTCCAGGACAGGAGCTATACCTGGCAAATATTTTGCCATTATCAATATGCTAATTGCTATGGAAATAGTGTCCAACAGACATACTCATTTTATCTGCACATTAAAAAATCAAAATAAAAAGACTTAACTGTTCATATCTTATATTTCTGGCTCCTGCAAAACTACACATATGGTTTCCTAAACAGCAGATTCAGCACATTTTTCTGCATGTTGTTCAAATACCTGTAGACTGTAGTGACCTCTCATAAACACAACCTATTTGGTAGTTTTAGTTGTTTACCATTGGCACAAATGATCAGTCTGAGAAAATAACTGCAGTAAACCTCTAATCTCCCGGCGCCATTGTCTTTGAGTATTTCTTTTCTGTTGACATGTGGTTATCTCTTAAAGCTGCACTTTGTAACTTTTCTTACTGGAGGAGCCACCACCTGCTTGTCTCAATTAAGTTGACTACAGGGGTTGGTAACTATAATATTCCACAGTGTAGCATTAAAATATCTATCTCAGATTTTTATCAGTGACAGGAGTTTTTATTGCTTAAAAATGCACTTAACACATGCAAATAGCATGTGTTAATGTGAGCCAGTTTCTCTCTCCACTGATCAAACCTGTAACTTGGCCTGGTGGTATCACTGCTTGTCTTCTTGGAGATAGATCTTAGAAGGTTACTAACTGTAATTTTAACTTATATAGTGCATTGTATAAACACAGAGAGTTGTACAGAGACACAAGAAGAGATGGCATCAGTAAAACCACCAACTGTTAAATCCAGCCAGTAAAAACCATAAAACAGCGAGAAACAAATAAAACTAATAATGGAATAATTAATTTTTTATTTTTTTTATGATAAAACTAAAAACCTAACTCCTCTGTTATTTCCAGATCAACACCAATGGCTTTGTTGCTACAGCAACACCAACCAGAGAGTCGACCTATCTCGGCAGCATGCCCGCCAGCTTTGGCATGATCGCCACTCTACAAGGAGACCTGGACACGAGCGATGGGGTGGGCAAAGTCTTCTTCAGACAAGATGACAGTCCTGCACTTTTGAGGCAGGCAGCGGAGCACATAAACAGGGCTTTTCCTGAAGACGACGAAGTTAACCCCACTCACGCTGTGGTGGTCACATGGGTCGATGTGGCAACGCAAGAGCAGCACAACAGAGGAGACGGAATTAAGAAGGTAAACTTTAAAAATGATCTCAGAAAGTCATTTGGGGCAACGTAATAATGCTTGTAAATAGTATGTAGAAATCATTAAAATTTAATCTAAATTGAATCCTTAATCTAACTCTGAATTCTGCTGAAGTCTGTTAAAAGTAAATGGTGCTTTTACTGACAGAGGATTGGCTGTAGACCTCAAGATTAAAAAGACCCAAACTGATCATTGTTGATTAGAAATGACTGCCCATAGAAACCATGTAATATAACCTAAAAGTTGTTGCAATATTTAATCCAATACATGATTACCACTTATCTGTTTTTCTAATTACCAAAATTTGCCTAGATTTTGTGGTCCATCTCAACCTATTTGAGTTAAGTTAGCGTCAAAATAAAAGAATACTTTGTAAAATATTTCACATATTTAATTCAGTAGTATATTAAATTATAGTATTACCGGTAATAATTACTTTTTTAATTTTCCAGAGAAACACTTTCCAGCTGGTTCTTGCGTCCCTTGAGACTGCGTCCTATGCCATTGTGCTGTATGCTAGAGATGGGATACAGTTCACCTCTACACCAGCCAACGACCAGAATGTGGTGATGCATGCAGGCTTCAGCAAGGGCCTCGTACGGGGTTTCCTGTTCTCGACTCAGGGGCAGTACTACCGCATCTCCAATGATGACGAGAACTCTGTCAGAGCTCTGGCTGAGTAAGTGAAAGGCAAATCAATCATCATAGTAACCTTTATTTTATGCAAATTAAAAGCACTGTACCTGATGTTACTATCTTAAAATTTCATTTGAAACTATTTACAATGGTCCAATGTTATTCCCAATGTTATTCCTCACTTACCAAGTATCCTAATTAATCACCGTGATGAGTTTACAAGTGCTTTTCACATCTCTCAGATGTGCTTGGCACAAGTTGTCATGGTTAAACCAACAGCAACTATGATGCTGAGACACACTTCCTGATTATCAGACAATAAAATGCTTTCTAAGTAGAGGCAGACAGGTTGCAGTTGACTTATTTTGACCCCAAGAACCATAATATATCTGTGCTGGGCAAGACAAATTTTGCTGAAAGATTCAGGTGTAGAACCTTTAAACACAATAATAATAGAACAGCTCAAAAAAAGGTCTCAGTGCATTTTAACAGGAAGACTGGTTAGGTGTAAAAGGAACGCATTAAAATAAAATTGTCATGATCTAGTATTTTCCCAAAGCTGTACATTTGTAAGTCATTCTCCTTCGCTTTCAGGACGACCAACTCTGGCATGCGTGGCGTCCATGTTTTTGAGATCGGTACTTACCCTCATTTCTCAAATGTGCATCCGGGAGAGGTGACAGAGATGCCCACCGAGGCCCCAGAGGAGGTGGAGTACTCCCCATTTGAGGCAGAGAGAGGGCAAATCCCAATCAACCCAGTCCTATACCAACCTGAGAACCCAGCGGTGGTGGTAGTGGAAGACACAGAAATCGATGTAGATGGTAATAAAATAAAACATACATTTGTGTCTGATGGCACAGGTAACACTTTTTAAGACTTATCTAGGGTTGCCATATTTTCCTATATTCATTGGGAAACACAGGATATAGTTTGATCTGTATTTTTTTATTACCTCCACTCCATTTTTTCTTGTTGTTTCCATTACTATCAGTGAATTTTCTTACATTGCCAATAATTATCTCAAAGAAGACATAATATGAAGCTTGAATTAAAAAAAAAAAAATAAAATCAACTAAGGTCAGAGTATTGGGTAGAGACAGGGGGTAGGTGAAAACTGATTTTTTGAGCAATATTGAATGCAGGATAATACTGGATTACCATACTGAAATGAATTAATTGCAGTATAACACACAGTGATAGCATGGATGAAAGTTTGATTTTGCAGCATGATATGTCCCTTTAAGCTATCTATTATATGATGCAAACTTCATTTCATAAATTAAAACAGTGATTATTATCTTTGTTTATTTGTTTTATAGTGTTTTCTTACAACCCTGGAGCATGTGCGAAGAACAGAGACACATGCTCACAGTTTGCTGACTGTAGAGATTACCCTGGAGGATACTGCTGCCACTGTCGCCCTGGTTTCTACGGCAATGGTATTCAGTGTGTTGCAGAAGGTAAATTAATGTCTCTTTATTTTCATGATTATAAAAGCTTATTGCTAAAGCTTTACATTTGGCAAAGTTATTTTAAAAGACTTTAGTGACACATGTTGTGCTTGTGTATGCTATATGCACATACTATACTATACTATACTATACTATACTATACTATACTATACTATATACTATGCAACGCTCCAGAATCCTACATACATTACCAATTAAAGAAATAGATGTGGAGAATGAGGTAAGTACAGAGCAGTGGGCATATGCTAGTGGCAATGAAAATGGGGGTTTATCTGAAACATGGCATCTTGAAAATAGGTGAAAAGATTAAGAAAAAATTGCTCAAACAGGCACTTGAGAAATTGGTGAGGGGAAACTACTAAAACATGGCTAGAAGCTCTGAAAAGGTACAGTATGCTTTGATACAAATAAATAAGGCATCATCATTCCTAGCATCCACTAAACCTTGGGCATAAAAATATATTCCAATAGAATCACATGAAGCAATGAGATTCTTCGCACTTTGTGGAACTCACAAAGACCAGATAATTAGATGCTTGATTTGACTTCAAGAGCAGCATATAAAGTATATCTATACTGGAGACAAATGTTGGGGGTTACAGGACCTTTAATTAGCAATAAATTGCTATTAATAAACCTTACAGGTGACTAAAATGTGTTGTTTTTCCAGGGAAGCCTCAGAGAATGAATGGTAAAATGAATGGGAATGTGTACGTGGGCAGCTCTTCGACTCCAGTTCAGTTCAACAATAACGACCTGCACTCGTATGTTGTGGTGAATGACGGACGCTCCTATGTGGCCATCAGCAACATTCCCGACTCCATCGGCCCCTCACTCATGCCTCTCTCTGCTCTGGGAGGAGTCATTGGGTGGGCGTTTGCTCTGGAGAAGCCCGGCTTTAAGAACGGCTTTGGGCTCATTGGTGAGAGTTTTGTACACATTTTTCCACTCATGTGTTGAGCAGCTGCAGTTTGGCTATCTCCAGATGGACTCCCCCTGGACTGAGAGTTCAGCCAGGGCCAGAGTCTTCAAGAGATCCTCTATTGTTTTGCAATATAGTCATGATGTCAATAGTGACCAGTAGTATAGGAAAAACTGAATGAAAAAACAGAATTATGACTAATAGAAGAATTTAAAGGAA